CCATCTATTGGTCCACCTACAGTATTTATCCATCTACTTTATTAATCCATTTATCCATCTATCTACACATCTATAGAATCTGTCCATCTACAGTATCTATCCATCCATCCATCCATCCATCCATCCATCCATCCATCTACCTAGTATCCATCTATCTATAGTATCCATTCATCTATCAATCTATAGTATTCATCCAAAATGATTAGACCCCCTCTAAAATTATTTCTTTTAAAAATCTCCCAAGTGTTGTTTAACATTGTGTCCTAACTTCACAAAAAGCATTAAGGCACCACAAAACGTGATAAAAATATATTTTTCATGTTAAAACAAGTTTTTGTCTTAATTCTCTGTGGCGGCGATGTGCAAAACGTTTCTATTTTAGAAACTATTTCTAATTACTCAACGTCAGAACAAATCAACAGCATAAACTTCAATGTAAACTTGTTACACACTAACACGTGCAGATTATGTGCTATATTCAGTGTTAAATGCTACCAATGTGCAGTAGGTGGGTTATACAGGCCAAAACAGGCATTCTGATGCGAAACACACATTTTTAAATGATAACAACTGACATTAGATTTGTTTTCAGATAAACTTCTGTTCACTTCTGTTTCTTAAATATCTGCAAACATAACAATATTTATGTCAAAAACATAAATGCAACACCTTTAACTTGTTTTTTAGCTGGGTGAGCTAGGATAATTAGGCAAGTTATTGGATAAAACCATTTCTTAAGGGGGCTAATAATATTAAAATACATTTTTAAATCTTTTATTTCAGCCAAACTAAAAGACATAATACTTTCTCCAAATTAATATATATATATATATATATATAAATATATATATATATATATATATATATATATATATATATATATATATATATACTCAAATAGGTTAGAAACAAGTGGATGGTGAGTAAAGGACATGAGAAAAGTATTTTTTGTCAACTATCCCTTTGACATCATGCAAATCAGCAACCATTTGTTGCAGTACTATCAACAAGAGTCATCAGATACTGTCAGATGTGAGCAGAGGAGTGGTTAATGCTACCATGACTATTTTCAGCTCAGTGTGAGTCGTCTCTGTCCGCATACTGTACACAAGGACAGATATAATTTAAAAAATATATATATATGCATGGAAAACATTTTCTGAAATTGCCATCCTTCTAAACAAGCTAAAATCATGCATTGATAACTTGCTCGAGATATTATGCTCTGCTGCTTTTTAAATTCAACCACTTTGCTTTCAGATTCTGCTTGATTTCCGGGAAAGATGGAATAACATCTTATTTTGCATGCAACACACTGCCAATTGTGATGAGAACTTCAAAGTAGTTACTGTTTTTTTTTCCCCTCAGGGCACAGTAGTAGGATTTTTATAGTGGCAGCATCCAGTCCTCCAAAGTGGTACTTTATTCATGTCCAGATTATTATTTAACAAAGAATAGAAAAATAAATAAAGCTTTAATTAAAAATAAATAAATGTTTAAAAACAATTTATGAATGTCTAATATATCCAATATTTACGGTGGCTGAGAGAGCACTTTAAGAAAGAACAAGCAATTACAAAAACACAAGCAAATTAAGAATAGATCTTCATTCATTTGACAGCACACAAGCAAATCCTCACAACACAAAAATTAAGAAAGCATGCAACATTTTCTCACAACACTTGCATATAGAACGGAACATAACTGAAATGGTTCAAGGAGACCCTAAAACGCGACTAACCCGGCTATTCAGGTTATGGTTATTTAGGCTATTAGATATAAAAGAGAAGCGAATCAGGATGTTAAAATTAACAAGTGAAAAACAACTACAACTTCACTGAGCAATAGTCACAGCACAATAAACACTTTGCAGCAGCGTCCATCACGTTTTAGGGTCTCCTTGAAACATTTTCATTGTATTCTGTCCTATTTGTAAGTGTGATTTTGTTTGCGTTGTGAGAAAATGCAGCACATTTTTTGTGTGTTTGCGTTGTGAGGATTTGCAGCATGTGTCCCGTCAAACAGATGAAGCACACTTAGCTCTCTCTGTCACCATAAATATAATTAAATAGAAAAATATCGGAAATCAGATGTGTCCACATGAATAAATAAATGTTTAAATATACAAAAAATAAAAATAAAAAGAGCATACATTTAAATAAATCAACATTAATAAATATATGCATGCTTGGCTAATAAATCCACAATAATTGAATACACAAACAAAAAATATATGAATTGATATTAAAAATTAAAATATTTTTTGCACAAAATGTATACATATATGCATAAATAAATGCTTAAAAAGACACTTGCCTAAAAATGTTAATAAATTGCATAAACACTTAAATGTACAATTTAATGTGTTCAAATGCTATTTTTTTCTTATTAATATATAATAATAATAATAATAATAACAATTATAAAAATAATTATAATAACATATGTTTTAAATTCACAATTTCCAGTATATTCCAGCTTGTTCTTTACAAACTTACCCATCATATGACTTTTGTATACTTGGAATTTAGTGGTTGATTCAATTGAAACAATATTCCATTTTTTTCATGAAGGTTTTTTGTCCGTTTTTTGTTTGTTTTGTTTTTGTTTTGTTTTGTTTAGATTTAAGTTGCCAGCGACTATGAACAAAGTTATTTTGCCATCCAGTAACGGCGTGAAATGACATTAATATTTGGTTGATTTTAGGTTGTGTTGGAAAGTGATCAAAATCCAACGTCAAGCCAACATTTTAAACCAACGTCATATTGACCTCAAATACTGACATTTATTCGTCACGTCTATTAGACATCGAAAAGACATCTTTTTGGTAACATTCACACAACATCAAGCTGTAACATCATTAGACGTTGATATTTTATTGTTTTTTTGGTTGCGTTGCAAGGTAACCAAAATGCACTGATGTTGAACATTGACTGAATTATATAACTTTTATATACTTGGAATATACTGTGAAAAATGGTTCATTTGGAGCACTATAATTTTTTTTTGCCTTTTTATTTATTTTTTTTTTATGGAGCTTGACAGATATACCCAGCAGACACACAATGTCATAAGTTAATATTAGATAAATTTTGATGCCCAAAAACAAATGATGTTGATATTTGGTTGATTTTAAGTTGTGGTAAAAAGTGACCATAATCAAATGTCGAGTCAACATTTTAAACCAATGTCATATTGACGTCAAATGGCAACCAAAATCCAACATCTAATAGACGTCATAGTGGTGGCATTCACAAAACGTCAAGCTGTAACATCATTAGACGTTAATATTTGTTTGATTTTAGGTTGTATTAAAAAGTAACCAATACCCAACATCGAGCCAACCTCTTAAATCAACGTCATATTGACGTCAAATACTGATATTTATTCTTCAGGTATGGCAACCAACATCACAAGTCTGATAGATATCATGGTCGTAACATCCACACAACATCAACCTTAAAATCATTAGACGTTGATATTTGGTTGATTTTAGGTTGTTGTTAAAGTGACTAAAATCCAGCAGAGCCAACATCCTAAACCAACGTCCTGTTGACGTCAAATACTGACATTTATTCATCAGGTATGACAACCAAAAGCCAGCGTCTTAAAGATGCCATATTGGTAACGTCGAAACAACGTCAAGGTGTAACATTGTTAAATGTTGATATTTGATTGTTTTAAGGTTCCGTTGAAAATTAACCAAAATGCAACGTCTGTTTGATGTTGGACATTGATTTCAGCCAGACGTTGGGTTTGTCAAATGACGTTGTGTAGGGTTGTCAACAGTTATTGTTACGTCGGTGCACTGCAATGCAGATGCTGACAATTCAGTATCGGTTCAGTAATAGATTATAACCGGTCATCACATACTGACGTCATTTATCCCATTTGTGCTATGTTGCGGTAACTTACTATGCGAGGGAGGAGAGCGCTAGCAAAAAAGCTCTTACTATTTGTAAGTAGTACTGTAATGTAGAAATTGTGCACAATTCACTTTGTGTGTTTTGCTTGTGTGTTTGCTGGGCAGTCTTTCACTGACACTGAATCCTCTATTTCACTGCGAGCGAGAAAATGAAAAGTAAGCTCCATTCCTCTCTCTCTCTGACTTTTTCTCCCCTCTCGGCTGTTACAGCGATACCTCTGAATACAGACACAAGCGTATCTACAAAGAGTTTTCTCTAGTGTCATGGATCAGCTGTGATCACTGCTGCCTTTATCATTGTCACTCATTAGTAAGCAGCGCCAGAGCGTTAAAGCCAATCACAAAGCCCTTTCTGTTGAGCGCATGACCAATCATAGGGGTGTAAGAACTCACTCAGCAGGGCTTATAAAGCAAGCAGGATATTTACATTTGCTTTTTAGCTGTAAATGGTTCATGCTGCTCTGTGCATGTACTTGAGTTTTTAAAGGTACAGTTTATATATCTGACTGTATTAAAGAACAAAATTATATTACAAATAGTATATAAATATTAATATATTTATATATTTTAATACAAGAATTCTTGTGCTGTGAAGAAAACATTGTGTATGGAAAGCATCGTCAGTGCTCCATGATGCACCATGATATTGAATTGTTGGCATGATGATCGAAACCGAACCGAACCATGACAAACCTAACTTTGGGATACAACATCTATCTGACGTCATGTTGACGTCCTGTGCCTGCTGGGTACTCTGTGTGAATATAGTTTATAGTAAATAAACCATTGCTTTTATAAAAATAAAAAAATAAAAAAGCCAAAACTTCTACCTTTACAATAAATAATTTAGAGCTCTCTCACGTTTTCAGCTTTTTTTGTTCAGTTTTTTTGGTTTAGTTTTTTGAGCTTGACAGATATGTGCTCCAAGTGAATATAGTTTATCATAAATAAACCATTGTTTTACGAAAAAAAGCCAAAAAAAATCAACTTTCCAGGAAAAAAGGCTTTTTAGAAGGTGGTGTTTGGAGAATAAAAAATTCTTGGAATGATCAAAAATGTAGTTTCTCATTCTAACCTGTTCCATCTGGTGTGGAGCGCACGAAGGTGGGCAGCATTTTGACGGTGGCGTTGTTGTGTGTTTTTTTAGCCAGGCCTCGTTTCATTTCCTCCTCCATCCTTTTCTTCACCTCCAGGAGCTGATCTCGACCGAGACGCAGTGTGTCCAGAACACGCTGACGTTCTGCATGCTGCTTCGCCAAGCGGTATGCCACTGCAGTGACCATGGCAGCCCCTTTACCGCTGCCATCCTCAGAGCGCAAGAAACGCACGTCACAGTCTGGAACCAAAGACCTCACCATCTTATTCAGACGCCGAGCAAACCTGCGGAAAAAAAACACAGTGTGAGTGAGAGATGGAACCAAATGGGTCCAAAAGCGGAATAAAGAAAGAGGTAAAAGAAAAAGGAGAGGAACATATGAAAGTTGCACAAGAGCTGAAGGTAAAAAAGAGAAAATAACAGTAGCTCATTAAAAAGAGAAGAGGTTTCCAAGTACAGATAAAGTTTTTTAGGTTTTTTTCAGAGTGGATGCAGTGTGGTTTGGCAATTCTAGTTATATGAACTTGAAAAAGAATGATAAAAATGGCAAAAAATAAATAAATAAAAATCTTGTTAAAATGGCCTTGATCGAACAAGTGGATTTTGAAATAACACGTGATGGTGTAGTTATTGTTTTTTTTTTGCTTTTTGCATGATAGGACTGACTTTTTGCGAAAATCTTATATAAGCTTTGGACTGCCAGAAACTCTTCAATGAAAAAAGAACAAAAGCAAAATGTCAAACAAACTCCACTGAACATGTATTATCATTACAGGTAAATATTATTTCTTTTTGGAAAGACACTATATACTGCATTTATGGGAACCAGAAACGGCACTTCTGCTACTCTCGCCAACATATTTGTGTCTGATATGGTCAAACTCATAAATTAGAATAAATGAAGTCGATATTTTGCTAAAGAATTAACAAATACTGGTTATGATGCTTCTGATGATAGCTTGAACTGTGTTTTATTCCTTTAAATCGGCGACATGTCTGTCTCAGCTGTACATTTATTCATGGCTTCAGTACCGTTTTCTGTGGCCATTAACTTTAAGAAATACAGCCCATTACTGGTGATCAGAAATCTCACCCAAAAACAACTGTATTAAGACAGTGATTTGCTGAACCGTAAAGTGTACTAATAACCTCCAACCTCCAAGTGAAATTTGTTTCCAAGTTGTTCACAATAAACTCCAAACAGCAGCCAAGCTCTCAGGGCATTTACAGTGAAGGCTATTATTACTACACACCGGGATGTGCTTATCATTCAAAATGTATTTAAAGATGAAGCGTTCCTGATCACAGAAAGTGATGTACATCTCAGGAATTACCATCCACAATATTTATTTCTGTCAAACACAGCAGATCGCACAAGGTGCTTGTGTGTTTGACACACAGACTCATGAGGGAGAGCACGCTCCTAAAGAGCAAATTTAAATGGATTGAACATAAAACTGTATTGGGATTACATTACAATATTGATACTGTAAAAGGAATCTTATGAAATTGAAAATAGTAATTTGCAGGGCTTGACATTAACACCCACCAGCCTAACAAATGCGGGGTAGATTTCAGCTGCGGCAGGTTAGACAAATACCCACACTAGCCACTATGGCTGTTTAAAAGTATTTTTTTTAAATTGTCAGAGCTACCTCGTCTCTAAAGATTAGAGCTTTAGTTTATGATCGTTTGTTTATATGTACACAAATGTCCTTTTAGAAGTGAGAACTGACCAATCAGCTTTAGCTTTCGGGAAACTAATTCTCAAACAGACTTTAGAATACACAAGACATGTCACTCGTATTGTTTTGAATGGGGAAAAGTGTAATGGTCAATAATATAGCGAATGAAGCTCCACCTACTAGTACAGAAGCCAATCATCGATTGATATAAACTGATGATTCTCTGGGGAAAAAGCTCAGACTAGGCATGTGCTTTTACGACACTTCATGTGCTCAAACACGCAGGAATCTCAGCGAATATTTGCTTCATGGGCTTAAAAAATATCTCCACATAAAGCTTGAAATCTGTGCTTTTAAATGAACGACTGCACTTGAAAAAAAAAGTTTTTTTGTAACCTGTATGAAACCAACGCGAGGTACAGTCCATCCTGTTAAATGCACATCACATGACAGCAACTACCTGAACGCCCACAACCTTGTAAACAAAGACTCGCTGTCATTTCTTGAGGAGATTCACCATCAAGACCAGGTTGTGAATTATTTAAGAAGACAAGCGCAATCAGACGAGGCATTATTCAGAGGATAATAATGTATAGAACAGCCATCAATGAGGTTGATGTCGTGATAACTTTTCCTTTCGAGTGTGCAAGCTCGAGCAACCTGAAAATGACAATTTTATTTAATTCGAACACTTAGAAAAGAAACTTAGACAGTAGTTGTTTAATTTTATTGGCGGTTCCAAATATGTAATGTAATCGTAAGCTTGGCAAGCAGTTTTGAAGAATTTGATGTTTCCCCATTCAGACAGAATGCCCAAGCATATTGCCCGAGAAGTGTTTCAAATATGGCCATTGAGTGAAACGACTTGCCTTAAAGAGACTTTGTCTTTGACAAACACAGAAAACCCAAATAATGCAGTGCTTTATACTTTTCTCCATAAATAAAACTTGTATCAGATAGCAAGGTTTTATCAGCTTGTCATCCTCTAAGAAAACAGTTGATGACTGCCTAGCAACCTACGGAACCACCACCCCATCTCCAGTCCACAGTAAAATTGTCAAGCGCTGACCGGTCAGTGGTGATAAGGTTGGGGACCACTGGTCTAGACTACTTTTGATGTACGTACAAACAGAAAATGCTGCTTCGCAAAGTCAAGTTCACAGAGCCCTGACGGTGTGGTTGAGTTGAACAGAGTATATTTACATGGGCAACAATACTTTAATACAATTTTACATGATTACAACAAGACTCTGATTAAAAGTCTACAATGTAAACAGCAATTTTTGATTACCTTATTCCAACTAAAGTTATAACCGAACTAAACAGAAATGTAAATCAAGACGTGGAGTATTCGACGTACGGTATCAATAAAAACACTCTTCCACCAGTTCTTCGAATTTGCGTCAAAAACCTTAGTTTGTCTAAGGGGCACGGAAATGCCCTTGACTGAATGTTAAACTGCTGAACTGCAGTTGAAGTCGAGGAACTGAAGATGAAAAACCCAAAATTACATGAGACTGCAGGAAGCGTGAATAGCCTGGTGATGCAACATTCAAAAAGCACTTCATGTAATTATATTATTGTCTTATTCAGATTAAGGCAAATAACTATTAATGATGTCCATGTAAATGTAGTCAGTACTGTCTTTAAAGTAAGTAAAAGATCCAGATGGGCATGCTGCTGATTTGACTCAGAAGGGCACTTTTTTTGTCAGATGGCTCATCGGTTTGACTTTCATTCATTCACTGTCATTAGTTTTAAAAAGCATCCAGTCCATTTTTGTATAGCTATATTTTTCTGGAATGCAGTAATTCTACAGGTGCCTGATGGATAGCTGTGGAGCAAACATTAATCATATTATTCCCTCTAGTGAACGCATAAAAATCATCAAAAAATCGTAATTTACTTGAGTGCACGCCTCAATGTCTCGCCCCTCAGTTTGAAGACCCTTGGTCTAGAGAACAAACCATCGTTATACAATGAATTGCATATTTACCCTAACTTGCCCAATTAAACTAAGCCCACCGCAGCCCTGAAAACCCATTGGTCTAAACTATGAACTCCTGCAATTGAATGCAAAAGTTTTTTTCTTTTTTTGCTGTAACACTTGGAACACACATGAATTCAGTTGCAATTATTTTACACTGCAACCATACTTTCTCAGTGTATAAGAACAAAACCAACCTCCAACATTGTTTTGCACTAGTTATTATTAACTTTCCATTGTAAAGAAACCCAATATGTCAACTTTAAATCAGCCTTCAGATGACGCCAAAGTGAAATTGATACCATTCTAGAAACAGATTTGCTTCAAACAAGATTATCTGCCTCTAGATAGAGGCCAAAGAACAGCAGGGATCCTGAATGAAGTCATATTGATCTTCACAGCCCGCTCACTGATGTCTCTCATCTCTGTGAACATGACTGGCATGAGGTGGCACTTGTGCACACAGGCACATCTGGAGAACAAAGTACATTCATCTCTATGAGAGCCATTCACACCTACAGGAAAATTGCAGAACATGCTGCATTTCTACCAATGATGTGTTTCTGCGTTGGCACCTGTGTGAGGTGAAAGCTGTGAACTCAGAATGTGTGTGATAGATTAAAATAGAGCAACTAATTAATGCTGATACCTGCAAATTGCTTTCGCGTCAAACAAAATGGACTGTAAATAATTACTTCAGACTAAAATCCAAATCCAAAGTTAATTAATGTAAATGTCGCGAAATTGAATGTATATGCACATTAAAATTTTGCAAATTGTCATCTAAAGTTAAACTGTTGCAATTACACAAATATAAAGTGGTGTGAACGTTTCAATATGTTTCAGATCAAATTCACATTTAAATATTACTCAAATATGAACATATAAATCACTATTTAAACTATCGCTTTTTATTATTAAGGGAAAACAAAATCCAAAACTACATAGCCTTGTGTGAAAAAAAGTTTGCTCCTCCTTTTATAACATAACTCAACTTTGGTTTATTACACGTGAGATTAATTTCTCTAGCCACACATTTGTGTCACACCTGCTCACAATCAAGAAATCACTTAAACAGGACCTGCCTGACAAAGTGAAGTAAACCAAAAGATCCTCAAATGCTAGACATCATGCCGAGATCCATAGAAATGTTAAAATAAATGAAATAAAATAACTTGAGATTTTTCAGTATGAAAAAGTTAAACCAAAATTACAGCAAGAGCACAAGTCACTAAAAATCACAAAAGACCCCACAACAACCAAAAGACAGCCAAAAAGCCAAAAGAACTCCAGGTCTCACTTGCCTCAGTTAAGGTCAGTGTTCAGTCCTTCTAACAAATTTTAAAAATACTTACAGCGGTAGCCGGATTGAAACACCATTTACCCACATCACATAAATAGTTAACTATATACAGCGAAAATAATAATAATAATTGACAATTTTATCTATGACATTGTTGTACATTTCATTTCATTGGGTTAATCCACTATTTCTCTTATTTTTATGCTATTCAGGAGCCATGTGCACCCACTGACAGGTAAAATCTGCTTCTCTTTCTTTCACGTTCAAAGCAAACATGTATTTTGTATATGCAAAATGTATTTTGTAAAATAGCCTATGTAATATATTAACATCATCAAATAATAAAAATACACAGCAAATAAAACAATAAATACAGTAAAAGGAATAAAAACAATCTCTAAAAATTATAATATTTACAAGATTAAAATAAAAAAAAGTGTTAATTAACTATTACCAAAGGTAATAATTAATTAAAAATGACCAGCAGCAGATAATAGGCTAGTTTTTTGGGGTCAATTAGATTAAAGAATAATTTATTTAATTTTACTCTCGCTGCTGTGCGCCCACTGTCAGCTGAAGCCAATCGAAAGTAGGCTTAAGTAAAAAGGTAATGCAAAAACGCATATGATAAAAGAATTTTTTTTTAAAAAAAAGCAAAAAGTTAAATCCTGAACATTTTAGAAGATTTTTAAAAACTCCAGCCAGACGTCCAAAAAAGCTGGTCTCTGTGGGTCTGCAGAGACTGTCTGTGGGAGTGTTGATAGATCTCCCTCACACAAAATGAAACGGGTAAACAAGAGAAGATTTTGCACTACTTAATCGCTAGCGGATGTTTGGTTATATTGTGCGGATACAAAAAAAAAAAAGTATAAAAGGATGATAATAAAAGTTAAAAAATGTGTCAGTAAATATACTTGGGTGGCTGTTAAAATACCTGGGCAGCCCGCCCAAGAAAAGACTATGTGTGAAAAGCACTGGTGTTCATGACTCCACCATAAGGAGAAACCTGGGCAAAAATAGAATAACAAGACGAAAACTACTGCTGAGGTAAAAGAACATTAAGGCTCATTTTGCCAAAAGACCTCTTGATGATCCCCAAGATATTAGAAACATTACTCTGGGGATAGACAAAACAAATGTTGAACTTTCTGCAAGGTGTGTTCCATTAAGCGTGGCGTAAACACTGTGTTTTAGAAAATGAACATCATACCATTGACAAAATGAAGTGGTGGTAGTGTGATGGTCTGGGGCTGTTTTTACACTATTTTTTTATTTTTTTTATTAAAATAAATAAATGAACAAAGTAATTTTCTGGGAAAAAAAGTTGAAATGGCAACATTTTCATTTGAGATTTGTTAAAACGTTACCAGATCTTCACAAAAATAAAACGATTACCATTTTACTCAAACCCATATTACTGAAAGTTAAAATACTATTCTAACAATGAAAGCTATATCACTAGACATACGTGCTGACCCAATAGAGCTGAACTCTCATCTGTCCATATTTTTGCATAGCAAAGCACTCTCAGCTAATTTCTCAGCCGTTTCTCAGCCATAACCTTCATTTGCATTGCTGGAATGAAAGGGAATGTATGCACATATTCATGTCACAGCGGGTGGCCGTTAAAAGCTTCAGTAATTCAACTCCCTCTGTGTTTATGGCCTTGCCAAACTCTGAAAATATCCAGAAAGAACCATCAGGTTGGTCAAATGGCCACAAAAGGCTCCATTTGCACTGTCAGTTAAATGAGACCTAATTCAGATTTTCTTTTCTCCAATATGACACAGACTGGATGAGTTCCATGAAAAATACGCAGCTGGATATTTCAAGATCAGTTTCATGCATGGAAATAAATCAGATATAAATCCAATATGTGCAAATGTGACTGTCATGAAACCAGGCAGATCGAATTTGCCGAGGCATCACATGCTGTACATCATTCGCTAAAAACAATATTCCTTCTTTTCCCTCTGATATCAGCTCCTATGGCATTATATCATTCAGGCCTAATTTTGGGCACTACAAAAAAGTGCACACTGGTACATTGAACTTACTCTGGGTGGTTTTTGTAGACTGATCCATCCACGCCGATAGAGGTGCGCAATCTGTCTGAGGCTTTGTTATCACGGATCTGCCGTAGCACAGCCGCTAGTGAAGCAGCACAGAGATGAGCAGCTCGCGTGGACACAATCTGACACACTCGCTGGGTGGCTACACAGTCTTCAGGTGTCGGGTCCAGTCCAAGCCCTCTCAACACCTGCTCTGCACTCACTATACCCTCATCATCCCTGTAGAAGAGAAAGAAGAGTTTTGCATCATGGATTTGCATCATGGATTGACAAAACCATATTTCTAAACAATTTCTTTTGATATAAGAGGTCATTGTAAAATGCAAACATCAAACCACTACGTACTTGTCTTTTCTAAAAATAAAACACCTTTATTAGGGAAGAAATGATTCACTGCGAGTCGGTTGAAAATTGATTCAAATATGTGATGATTCAAATCAATACAAATGTTGAATGAATCGCGATATGTATTTGAACAGAGGTTACAGGCGCAAGCTTGCTTTATCCACACATAAGCAGCGAGCAAGAGGTGAGGCTGCAGAGTAAAATGACAGCGGACAAAACACAAACTGTGTGCAAATACTGCAAAAAGACGATTGCACAAACAGAATAACGAATATGATGCACATGAACAATCAGCACAAAAAAAAATGATTAAGCCAAACCATGCGGACTGGATGATTTGTAGCTCCGCTTGCTCTGACGAGTGCTACAGAGATCACGCGGTGCATCAGTGTTTTCAAAGAGAAAGTTGTTCAGTTAAAAACCAGGTATTAGTTGATTTTAACCTCTCCTTTTTAAATTAGTTTATGCATGTTTTAATCATTTGCTTATTATTATTTAATATTTACAAATGTTGAATTCCAGCACAGTCACAGTTTTAGTTTGTTTATATCAGAGGTGCCCAACCTTGGTCCCGGAGGGCCGGTGTCCCACAGGTTTTAGCACCAACTTGCCTCAACACACCTGGAGAGAAGTTTCTAGAAAGGCTAGTAACAGCTTGATTAGCTAGCCCAGATGTGTCTGATTGGGGATGGAGCTAAACTTTACATGACATCAGCCCTCCAGGACAGATGCAGCGTCCGAAACCGCATACTTCCATACTATATAGTACGCCAAAATCAGTATGCGAGCCGAGTAGTATGTCCGAATACATAGAATTCGAAAATCAGTATGCGAGAAGTACCCGGATGACTTACTACTTCCGGCGAAATTCTGGAGTGCGCATCTCATGCACGGTGCGCCATCCCATGATGCCCCGCGAGCGAATTCATGAATGGGAGTGAAGCGATGCAAATTACGCAGGTAGGTCGCGTGACCATGACAAAATAGCGGATGTAGTACGTCCGAATTCCATTCATACTTTCACATTCATACTGTATAGAACGTACTTTTCTAACGGCCGAGTAGTACGTTTAAATTCAAATACAGTACCTACTGAGTAGTAGGCGGTTTCGGACGCAGCCAGAGTCTTCTTTAGTTTGTATTTTTTTTTTTTTTGCTTTTGGGATTTTTAAAATGGCAATTTGGCTATGTCAGAAAATGTTTTATTTTGCAAAAAATGTGCAGCATTTAAGAACAAAATAAAAGGGCTCTTCACCTTAAATTTGTTTGAAATCATTTATTTTAAAAAATCGTGACTAAATCATGAATTGTGAGATTAGTATCGTGAATCGTATCGAATCCGGAGTCGGACGACTCCTTACATCTCCACTCTTTAGCATTTAATATTTATGTATAATTGTGCATTTTAATCAAAATGTCCCAGTGCTTCCCCGAGGTTTGAAATACACTTGTGCTGCTGGATTGAAAAATGTTCTTCCCCATATCACAAACCCCTTAACCATTTGTAAATATGACCATAGTTTTTCTATATCTGCACTTTATAACTTATACCTGTATCCTGCATCTGCAGCTATTGCACTCCTGGTTAGACCTAAACTGCATTTCGTTGCCTTGTACATGTACATGTGTAATTCCAGCTGAATCTAAGTTAAATCTAATCTAATCTACTGTAGATTAATCCAATCTAAACTAAACAGTTAACTATGAGACAAACAAAACATAGATTTTTAATAATATTTAAATTTATTAAGAACTTGTTATACACTGTTTATTTTCAATGGGTTAAATACCGCCCAAGTAAAGTCTATGGGCTCTATTTTGATCATCCAAGCAAAGTCTAAAGCGCATGGCACAAAAGCATTAAGGTCGTATCTGAATCCACTTTTGCTATTTTAAGGATGGGGAAAAAATACAATTTGCACCACAACGCATGGTCTTACAGGCTTAATGAGTTATGCACTCTGCACTGGATTTTAGAGCAGCATTTAGTCGGTCAATGGTGCAGTCCATTTCAGTTCCTCAAAATAGCAACTTGCCAACAATGCTCCTTAATGCATGTCCTTCATAGACCAGCACACTCATGAGTTTACAGTGGCACAAATTGATTTGCTATTTAAATAACGTGGCGCAAAATGCAAAAATTAGGGTTGCACTTATCTGTAAATATTAACAAAATCGAGCCATACATGTCTTGTGCCTTATTGCACCGGGTGTATGATAGGGCCCTATGTGGGGGAATTATTGTGTCCATTTAAAACAGGAAGATTTATCTAATTTTGAAGTATGGAAGATGTATCTAATACAATTAAGACAATACTCCGATTAAGAGTATACCATTTAAAACATTGATTTTTGATTACCTTAATCTGACTAAAAGTCATAATCAAACTAAACAGAAATCGAATTGAGACATGGGGAGTACGCTAATTTTAGTCACATTATTATAGTGCAGTAAAGACATGTAAACACAGCAATTAAATAATACTGTCGAGTAGGATTTGACGCATTTTGTGACAGGATATTCCATAGCAAGGGAGCCCAAACTTTTTCTTAAGAAAGGCCAAAAACTAAATTTGATTTAGGGTGGTGGGCCAAAGCTAAATATACTAAACTGCGTTATGTTAAAGATGCCATAGTAACTTCCTAATTAAATAATATTTAAAATATATATAGAAAGATACTTATTAATAATTAAATTTTTTTTTACATTTAATAAAAAATAAAATAAAATATGCTTCTTACAATAAAACCATAACAATCTCATTATAACACTTTTTTTGCTTGTTTTTTTTACAAAAACAATAAATTTTCACTTGATAGTTAAATATATTCTAATAGTGTTTTTAGCAACGTACCACGCATATAGTTGAAGTCAGTGTGACGACACTGTGAGCACCCCAGTTTTTTTTTTTTCGCAATTTCTGTTTTATGTAGAGAAGATGTTTTCAACACATTTCTAAACATAATAGTTTTAATAACTCATCCATATTTTATCTTTGCCATGATGACAGTACATAATATTAGACAATTTATTTTTCAAGACCATGCTACACAGCTTAAAGTGACATTTAAAAGCTTAACTGGATTAATTAGGTTAACTAGACAGGTAATTAGGCAAGTTATTGTATAACGATGGTTTGTTCTGTAGACTATTGAAAAAAATAGCTTAAAGGGGCTAATATTTTGGGGCTATTCATTTTTTTAAAAATTTAAAATTAAAACTACCTTTATTCTAGCCTAAATACAACAAATAAGACTTTCTCCAGAGAAAAATTATTATCAGTCATACTGTGAAAATTTCCTAAATCTGTTGAACATCTTTTGGGAATTTAAAAAATAAATAAATAAAATTCAAAGGGGGCTAATAATTCTGACTTTAACTGTATTTAACCATATTTAATTTCCTGAATCTGCTGAACATCATTTGGGAAATATTCAAAAAAGTAAATAAAATTCAAAGGGGAGCTAATAATTCTGACTTTAACTGTAAATCTATCTGTCAACATTTTAAAAATTTATTTTAGGGTTTCATGACCATTTTAAAAATGTATTAAAACATTTAATTTCAGTTTTACTTTTTAGTAGTAACTAAACAAACAAACAAACATAAGGTTATGTGAATAAAAATGACAATTTCTGTTTGAGGGATTCACCCCAACCCTCCCCATCATTTGTCCATCTTTTCTCTGATTGGTTGGCGGGCCAAATCAAAGGTTACCATGGGCCAACTTATGCCGAGTTCAGACTGCATGATTTTCAAACTAGTCGTGTCACAGATGTTTTTACACTGCATGACTATCTGGGCTAGCGTTTCGTCGCTGCTTTGTTTACACTGCAAAATGGTTCGGCGACATGGACATTCACATTGCATGACTTTACTATAGGGAGAATCGCCGACAACTTCGTCCAAACTACGTCTCACAGCCAAAAACATGTAGTATATCTTTTGTTATTACTACATAATGAGAAAGAAGCCTTTAATGGGGTAGAACATTTACATGTTTGCTCACCTGGGTTTAAAGGGAATTAGCCATTTCTCCTCAACGTTGATAATAAACTAATTTCTTTCTGTATGAAACGTCAAACAGACACGGTTGCTCCTGAGTCCTGTCAAACCTCCACTAGTTTTTTCTCCATTTCGTGGGTCCAAATAAACCGAAAAAGAGCGCTTTTAACTTCTCCCCCAGCCTCCCGCTGGCCTGCAGCAGGTATACACACACGCACACACAAGTGAAAGCTGCTCTCTCATTGGCTGTAGGCGATCGCTGATGTTATTTTCAGTCAAAACTCAATTCACACGGCATGATTTGAATCGCCGACAGCTCCAGATATTTAGCATGCCAAATATCTCGCAGGCATCGGCGACTCATCGGCGATTCTCTCAGATCGCATCTTTGATCGTTCATACTGTGTGATTGTCACTCACGTGCACGAGCAGCGATTTGCCTGTGATTTCAGGCATTTGTCGGCGATTTCTCTAAACCTGTCGGCGAGCCAAAATCGGGGTTAAAATCACGCAGTCTGAACTAGGCATTACCCCACAGGCCCAAATTTGGGCATCTTTGGCACGCACGCACATTTCACATTTTGACACAATTCTCTGCACCTACCAAGTCAGTGAAGGACCACAGACACCGTTTTTTTTTTTTTTTTTTTTTCCCCAAAATAGGTTGCATTATCAAAGACCAATAAAACAACACTCTCCCAGCAGTTCCTACTCACATCTAATATCTCATTTGTCATATAGGGCATGCATGAAATGTTCCTGAATGAAAGCAAAAGTTGACCAATTAAAAATGAAACTCCCGAAATGACATTAAACACAATCAAATTATGTGCTTTAACATGTTAAACAGGATCATGAAAAGGAACAA